CGACTACACTACCCTACCAAAGACCCCCAAAGGGAAGAAAAGCAGTGAGAACAGTCTGGAGGCTCCTGAAGGTTTCTCAATTTCACCAGTTTGGTATTGGGCAAGCCTGGCCACGCAGCAGGCTAGAGGCAGTGTGCCAGGGTAACCCAGACCGCGAAACCCTGCTGCCTTGCTTCCCACTGCAGCTGAGGGCTTTTATTTCAGCACGGAATATCTGTTTGTATTTTCAGTAGACACGAGCAGCACAACGCTCCTCAGGTCAGATGAATTGAGCACAGGAGCAAAGAAACTCCAAGTTCCACAAGCTGCCCAGCTCTATCCTATCCTTAAGTCCAATGTTATTAGTTAGAAAAAAAAAACCCAACATTCAGATGTTCATAAATTAAACTATAACGTGCTTCAGGAAAAGAGACCAGACACCTAGCCACTAGTACCCAAGAGCCCTAAAAATGGCCTTCCCTCTGCTACCGCATGCACTCGTAACTCACGATCCATTTTAAAATTTAAATCCAGGGGCCCCCAACTAGAATTCTTTGCTTGAGTTCAGGACAGGCTTTGAAAGTTTACCTTAGCCTGTGAAAAATACAGATAAAATGCTGAAAATGTTAATAGAAACATGTTTTTGACCTGAGCAAAACCAGGAATAATACCAAGACAGCTACTTCCGCATTTTAGGGCAAACATACACATACATCGTGGATCAAACAAACCAAGCGTATGTGAGGTAATATCATTCATAGCTCTCTTCTGGACTGAATTCATCCAGAGCTAAAAGCCACAGGAATTTACTCATGCCAGAACTGGTACTGATCTTTCGATGGAAGAAAGGCAGGCACGGTGTTAGTCTGCCACCACCTTGCTTTTGAAGGGACAGAACTGCTTTGGGCGAGGAAAACACACTGTACACAACAACCAGCCACTAATACGTAACGACCGCAGAGACGCAGGAACAAGAACACGAATTACACACCGGAAAAACGCAGCTATTAATTATAGTGAGAGAGGAGAGAAGCACTCCGGGCGCGCAGAGGAACCACACGTTTGTGGGCCAGGGGCAACAAACCGGCTCCACCAGCCACTCCCCAACACACGCTCCGTCACAGAGGCAGCCAAAGGAGACGGCCAGGGGCACCCATGCTCCGAGAAGGGAGGGCGAACTGCCAAGAGAGGAGCAGCACAAGGAGGAAACCCCTTCCTTCGCGCCCTTCCCCTCAGAGCAGCCGCCAGCGAGG